TGACAGAAGATGGGGTGGGCAGTGAGGAGCTAGTGCTCATAGATAGAGTTTAAATTTTGCAAGATTAAAAGAGTTGCCGGGTGTGGGGATGCACGCTTATAATCCCAGCACTTGGTAGGCTGAGGCAGGAGGATCATTGCAAGTTCGAGACCAGCCTGGGCTACGAAGTGAGCTCAAGGCCAGCCTGAACTGCATAGGGAGACCCTGTCTCAAAAAGAAAAATAAAAAAAGTTTTACAGGCTAAAGGCACTGATAGCCATAGAACAATGTAAATATACCTAATGTCACTGAAGTGTATGCTTACAAATGGTTAAAAGGGTAAGTTTTATGTTATATGCATTTCACCAAATTAAAAAACCAATGACAGCCAGGCATGGTGGCACACTGTAATTCCAGCTACTCAGCAGGCTAAGGCATGAGGACTGCAAGACTGAGGCCAGTCTAGGCAAATAATAAAAAGGTCTGGGGATGTAACTCAGTATGAGTGACTACACAGCATGCCTGTGGCCTTGTATTTAATCCCCAGTACTACAAGTCCAAACCCTCAAAAACCAAAATATAAAAACAACAAAAAACCATGACAAATCAGTGACGAGGACTGCTCCGGGAAATAAGCTGTGGTGGTATTAGTAAAGGCTGCACCTGATCACACCGTGCACAAGGTACACGACTGAAAAACAACCACTGCTTGAATACGTGAATGGATGAGTTAAGGCTGGGTTTTCCCAGCTTCCTCAAAGCACTGACCGGATTCTGAAGAACAGTAATATTCCTGAAATTCAATTTGCTCCGGTTTGGGAGCTGAGGTGTTCCTGAATAGAACAAGGCCTACTTGACGAGATTTCACCATAAGGAAAGGAACAGTGGAATTTTCAAGGTTGGAAAAATACTGCAACCCATCCCTCTCTCTCACGCTGGAGCCCCCTCTCCCATGCCCCTGCTTCTCTGACCTGCTCGTATCCAAGCTTTAGCACAAGGCACAATATGTGTTACTTGAAAAGCCTGAGTTGTTTGCTGCAATAAACAATGAATGTGAATTTACTCCTGGTGAGTCATCCAGCACGAGCACAAGCCATCCTAGGCTTCTTGGGACACTGAACACTCGTCAGTTATACGCCTGGGGAACAACACACTGCTTGTCTGGAGCTAGGGTCAGGAAGACTGCGACCCTTTGGATAAATGAGTGGCTCTTCTAAAAGGAATTGCCATTTTCAATACATTACCAAAGAGGTAGGTCCTCATATAAGATACCAGGACCTGCTCAGAAGGCTGACCTGAGCAGAGGGGAAGGGGACATGATTTCTGGCAGGAATATAGGTTTCAGGGACACATTCAGGAGAGTAGTTATCTAGATATAGATTCTAGGTGTTGGCTACTAAGACGGAGGCTGAGGGACTGTGAAGGTCCTCAGTTCGATTCCCAGTACCCAAAAAAAGGGCAGGGATACAGCTCAGTGGCATAAGCACCTGCCTGGCAAGCACAAGGTCCTTCCCGGTACCCCCTCCCCGCTGCAAAAAAGGCTGTAAGGTCTGGAAGGACTGGAAAGCAGGCAGTCTGGTAAGGCCTACTAACTCCACATACTAGGATCCTCAACCCTTCAATACAGCCAGTGACAGATCCTTCTCATCCTTGGGCCAGAATATTCATGAGAGCATGGAGAAAAGGCAGTGGTGGGGAGACCAGTGAGAGTCCATAAAGGGAAGAAAATGAGTGATCAACAGCTGAGGTTTGAGGTGCCCTTCACCCCAACAAGAAATTCTTCTACTAGGTGTTTTGGTGAGGCTGGAATTTATCATTATTAGGGAATTACCACTTACAACTATTAGGGATTATCACTTTTAATTATGAAGCACCTAATAATTCTCCCTAAGAGCAAGGAAAGCCAACCTTGGTGCCCCACCCCCTCGGCCCTACATGTAATCCCAGGCCTCCAGGTGGCGAGGCAGCAGGATCTCATGACTTTTAGCCCAGCCTGGGCAACTTTTTATTAAAAAAATTTTTTATAAAAATTTTTGGACAGCCAGGCATGGTGGTGCACCCCTGTAATCCTAGCCCTTGGCAGGCTGAGGCAGGAGGAGCACTGTGAGTTTGAGGCCAGCCTAGGGTATCTAGTAAGTTCAAGACCAGTCTGGACTACACAGTGAGACCCTGACTCAAAATTTAAAAAAGGTCTGGAGATGTAGCTCTGCATGAAGACCCTGGGGTTCAATCCCCAGTACCTCCTTCTCCCCCAGAAAAGCATGGCAAGAGGTCTCAGCTCAAATCCCGTTTGGATGAGTCCAGTGTAATTATTCCATCTCTTGAAGGAGAAGCTAACTTGTGGAAACTCCAAGCTCAGAACCAATCTGACTGAAAAGATGAGAATTATGCAGATTGATTACTAGCGATTCACCTGAGGTTTCAATCGGTAGCTGATAATAATCTTGAGATAGCAGGGCGTGGTGGCGCACCCCTGCAATCCCAGCACTTGGGAGGCTGAGGCAGGAGAATCCTCTCAAGTTGGAGACCAACCTGAGCTACAAAGTGAGCTCAAGGCCAGCCTGAACTGCACAGTGAGACCCTGCCTCAAAAAGACCAAAAAAAAAAAAAAAAATGTTGAGATAAAGTTGGCAACAACCTGGTAAAATCAAATAATTGGTCCTACAAAAACAAAATGAGAAGAAAAAAATGAGACCTATAGTGTCAAGAGGATAAAGAAGAGAATGCCAGCAAGAGGCATGAAAAGCCGGCTACGCTACAGAAGCATCTTAGTGAATAAAGCTGTTGCCAAGCATGAAGTGAATAATAAAACACTCCAGGCTCTGGAAATCTCTTCCTGAGAATGACCTGGTTAAATCTGTGCAAGTGGGTGAGATAGTGGAATGAAGGTAAAATATAAAACAGTTTTTTAAAAAAGGGATCTATTATACTGGCTTACTTTTCATTACCATATCACAATACTTAAGGTTGGACACTTACCAAGAAAAGCTGTATTTATCTTCTAGTTTTGGAAGCTGAAAGTCCTAACAGAATAGCGCTGGCTCTGGCAAGGGCCCCCTTAACTGTATCGCCTCAAGGCAGAGGACAGAGGACACCACGATGGTGGGACCACATGTAGGAGGAAGAGACCACATCCAGACGGGAAGCCCGGCGGCAACAGGGGTCTGGTTTTCCTCTTCTAACAGCTCAATCTTGCAAGAACTAACTTAGGGTCCAGGACAACTACCTAAAGCCCTCCCAAGGGCACCCCTCAGGGACCTGATGAACCCCATTCACCATCTCATCACCACCGCACAGAGGACCAAACTTCCAACACGCACACCCTTGCAGCATACACTCCGATCATACCTAAGTTGTAGCAGCTATCTACAAAAGGGTCCAGTGCACTTTGTTTTTCCATTTGATCCAGGATAGGAAAGATAAAATCAGCCCCATGATACTGAGAAGTTTTTTTTTTTTTTTTTTTTTTTTTGAGATAGCATCTCGCTGTGTAGTTCAGGCTGGCCTCGAACCTGTGGTTGTCCTCCTGTCTCAGCCTCCCAAACGCTGGGATTACAGGCATGTGCCAGCATGCCTGGCTTATTTCTATCTTGGAAAAAATATTAGGATATTTACTTAGGTCTCTCAGACTAGATGTTACTTTACCCATATTTCAGCCCTGAAACATCTCTCCACGCAGCTATCTGTCTGCAGTATTTCCAACTTCCTTGAAAGGCACTACCACCAAATAGCTGCCAGGTTGGAAACATCAACTTTGATGCCTACATTTCCTTTATATTTTGTGTGTCAATCTCCAGAACCAAACTATATCCAAGTGCTATCACACTTAACTTTAAAACGCTCCACTTCTCCTTCCACCAGCTCTACCCAGTCCATGCTACCTTTCATTGTGACAGCAACTGTCTATTTAAGCAGCTGGTCTAACCTGAGGGCCCCTCTCTGTTTTCCACCCAGCAGCAAGAATGATCTGTACTTGATGTAAAATCTGGTAAAGTCATTCCCTATCTGAGCCCTCTAGTGTCTTTTTTGGGCTTGGTTTTTTGTTTGGTTTTTGTTTTGTTTTGTTGTTTGTTTTGTTTTGTTTTAGACAGGGTCTTACTCTGTATTCTAGGCTGGTTTCAAACTCATGATCCTCCTGCTTCAGCCTCCTGAGTGCTGGGATTATGGGCATGTGCCACCACACCTGGCTTGTCCTTAGTGTAGGAATTAAAATCATTTGGCCTAGAAGGCTTCTTGTTTAGCTTTTATTACTCCAGACATTTCCACCACATTCTCGGCTACACAACCACACTAGCCTCAGTCCCTCAAGAGCACCACAGCGGCCCCCATTCTTCAGCATGCTATCATCTCAAAGTGCTACGCTCTTCACATCATCCATGTAGTCCAAGCATTATCCAAGTCAAATCAATAGTCATTTCTTCGAGGAAGCTATCGTTTGAGCACCAAGAGGTTGGATGTATCACTGTTGTATTAGTGCCTAGCATCACAAACATTTTCTTCATAATATTTATTAAAGTTATAACTGTGTTCATTTGTGTGTGTTACTTTAATGCTTATCTCTCTCACTACAGAGTAAACTTCATTTGAGCAAGGACTACATTTATTTTATATTGTAATTGCAGCACACAGCACAGTGCCCAGGCACAATATTGACATTTAAAAGGTATTTGTTTTCACACACACACAGAGAGACAGAGACAGAGAGAGACAGAGACAGAGAGAGACAGAGAGAGAGAGAGAGAGAGAGAGAGAGAGAGAATGAATTTGTTGAATGAGTATCAACTTCCTGCTGGGTAAAGTGGTTATTTCCTATAATGTCCCTGAAGTTAAAAATTTCAGGCTACACCTGAGACCCGGCTTTCTGAGTTTCAAGGAGGGAATCACCACGCACACCACCCACATCTTGGAAGATTTGACATGGCTCATCTCTTCTCTTAGCGCCTTATTCTTCCATCAAGTGATGCTAGCCTGATCAATCTGGAGATGGCAGGAGGGAGTATCAGGACCCCAAGTCAACTCACCCCTATTGTAGACGCCATGTAGTCTGCACACATTTCTGCAAAGTCTCGCTCAAGAACTCCATAGTAGAGGCCATAGAAGAGGAGAGAAATACCAAAGTCCATGGCATCTTCTGGTTTAATCCTGGAAGGGAAGCAGCACGGCCAGTAAGGCCTGCCCTGAGACATAACTGCTGGAGCACTGCTTTGGGACACACAAGGCAGAGCCTGACGTGGAAGACTCGAGGGCCAGTGGGCGCTGACAAATCACGATCAAATCAGTCTGCTGGCCCACAGACATCTCTGGAGGGAGCCAGCACTGTGAGCTGCAAAGACCCAGCTGGAATATCTCCCCTTCTGTCCTTTGCCCCACTCTGCTCCCCGGTTCTGCCACCCATGACTGGCAGCCACGCCTTGCTGCTGCCCCGGGAGCTCAGTTCATCGTAACCTATGTGCTAGGAACGCTGCTGTAGGCAACTGCTGGCCACCAAGGAGTGGGATGTCAGTCTAGAAGCTGACTCCTTACCGAGTTGCCTTGCTTCAAGCCAGCTGCCTGAGTTAAACGGTTGAGCCTTCCAAAAGCAGGAACAGCATGCCAGGGTCTGGGCACCCCTGGAGCAAAGACTGAGAATGATTCTAGTGGCCAATTATCTCCTGCTGGACCCTGACTTGTGAGAATGTTTCCACTGACGGTCACTGGGTATGAAGTACGCTCCCCCCCGTGAGATGTGCCCCTTGGCCTGAGAAAAACAGGCCAGAGCAATACAGGAGTTTCTACCGTGGTACACAAGCACCTGCACAATATTCTACAGTTCTGCCTATCGTCCTACAAAACCTAAAATGTTCACCATTTGGCCCTTTACAGATAAAGGTTGCCAAATACAGGTCTAGAAGAAAAGATTAAATTAGCAAATATTTATCAGAAAAATTATCACAAAAATTAATTTGCATCTATATTCTGTATAATGTCATCAAAATTAAATTTTGGCCCAAGTCTATTTATTAAGAAGAATAAAAATCTTTTTTTTAAAAGAAGAATAGAAGTCTTATTCCAAGGACTAAACATTTGTAACCTAGAGTCCATAAAGGTTATGAAAAATTGCCTTAATTAAAATATCTGCACAAAGAATTGTATGTCTTCACTTAAAGTTGTAAACTATATTCATCACAGATAGTTGAATGTGCTCATTGGTCTTATAATATTTAACCTACTGACTTTTTGGGGGGGCATGTGTGAGTGATAGTAGGGACTGAACTCAGAACTTTGTGCTGAGCTACATCCTCAACGCTTTTTTAAATTTTTTGAGACAGGGTCTTTCTAAGCTGTTACATTGCTGGGTTTGAACTTTTGATTCTCCTGCCTCAGCCTCCCAGAGTGCTGGGATTACAGGCTGTGCCACCACGCCTGGTTCCACTGACATCACTGATCTTACACCAATTAACGTAATCAGTAGCAGAAAACTGGTCAAGATTATCAATTGTGGGGGCTGGGGATTTAGCTCAGTGGCAAAAGCGCCTGCCTGGCAAGCGCAAGGTCGTGAGTTTGGTTCCCGGTACCGGAGAAAAAAAAAAAAGATTATCAATTGTCTTTTCCTCTGTGATCTGATCTCTGATTTTCTTCCTTGTAAGGAAAAAAAAAAAACAACACTATAATTGTAGAAGTTCCAGAAACAAAATGTAGAATCTTAATTTTTATACTCTTTAACCACCCAGGTTAGGAAGGTACCTGGAAATACCTCTTCTTCTTTTGATGACTTCCTCTAAAGCTTTGTGGAGCTTGTTTCTTCATTTGTTGTGTATGTGTTTCTGTAGCACCACGGATTGAACCCAGGGCCTTTGTAATGAGCTGCATTCCCCAGCCCTTTTTATTTTTAGAGACAGGATCTCACTAAATTGCCCAGCCTGGGTTTGAACTTGCAATATTCCTGCCTCAGCCTCCCAGAGTGCTGGGATTACAGGCGTGCACTATGATACCCAGCTGTGGAGCATGTTTACCCTTTCAGCCTATACTACCACTGGAAGAAAAGATTCCATGAGTTTTCCTCTCACTGTATAAAATAATAATTATTTTCACTTGTCCTAAAATAAACTCCTTTGATTTCAAAACTACTACTAACTACAGGATGGTAGATAAAGGGAAGGGGTTAGTGGTCTTCCCGTTTACAACTTGACCTTGAATCCTAAATCTCCTTAGCTTCAATGCACTGTCCTAGGCCAGGACTCATGACTCACAGCCCACAGCCACCATTACACTTCACCTGGCAAGGCACGTCTCTACTCTCCTCTGACCTCCTGACTCTGTATCCTCCAGTCTTTGAACTCAGAATTTACTGGCTTCTTCCTCAATTGAAGGTGAGAGGACCTGCAAGCTCACAGGGAACTCTCAGAGGCTTACCACAACATGAAGCAAAGCCAGAATTTCTGGGCGTTCCCTGGGGAAGCAACACAGCCACGGTACCTACACTGAAAACAAACTAAGTCCCAGCCAGGAGCAGGATTGAAACGCTCACAGGTTAACTCCCTAGAACTGTTTCCTCAGAAATCTGCTAACAGTGCAGTGTCGGCTGGCAACAGGCGAGACCGCCTACACGCTAAACACAGCCTGTGACTGGACACCGCAGCTGAACCGGGACACCCTGAAACTGGTGTTTCCTGGGAAGACAGAGCTCCCGGGCCAGGGTGCCTCCCACGCCCACCCGAGTGGGATGCGTTCCCTCACAGCTCAGCTCCAGGACTACTAGGAAGCGTCCTGAAGACAGTGCCCTGCTGTGTTTCCTGCCTTGCTCTTTCGAAGGGGATCTGCTGTCAGGTGTGGCCAACCGTCCTCGTGTCGCTTTGAGTGTCTATCCCAAGGGTCCGTAAACCTTTTCTGTAAAAGGCAGAGCTGCACATATTTTAGGTTTTGAGACCCATTATGGTCTTTGCCACAACCATTCAGCTCTGTTGTTGAATACTACGGCCACAGACACAATGTAAGTGAAGAGCACGACTGTGTGCTGACAAAACTTTATTTGGCCCGAAGGACGCGGTTTCCCGGTTCATTGTCTAGCTGAATATAAGGCCTCTGAGGCACAGTGGATTTTGCAATAAATATTATACATGGCAAAGAAAAAGTATTGTTCCAATAATGGAATTATGTGTAACTGGTTATAATCATTGTGATGCTTATTTTGGTTATACTTTACCATTGAAATATAAGTTATTGGAAAATATAACCAACAGCTTGGAACTTGGACTTTGTAAATATCTAAACATTCCTTGTTTTTTCCTACTTTAATGTTCTTAAAGACAGGGTCTGAATATGTAGCTCAGGCTGGCCCCATGATCCTTTTGCCTCCGTTTCCCAAGTGCTAAGATTACAGGTGTGTGTTACCACACCCAGCAGGCCTTGCTTTCCGCCAGCACGAACCAAGGACCTGTTGTCTTCCATCCCCTACAGGGCCCAAGCCTTCTATCCTGTCATATTTGGTTAATTCCCGTTTGTGGTAGGAAGGAAGGTATATCCTTCACAGGCTTTCTCCCCAAATCCCCCCAAAACAAAAGCAAAGGGTACTCACTTGAATAGTAAGTTAAGACCAAAGAGGGTGAACATGACAGCCATGTAGCCAACGATGCCAGTAGCATAGCTGATTTTATATATTAGCAGGAACCATTTATAAACCAACCTGGAGAAAGGAGATAATGTTAGTTCAGCTGACACAGAAACTCTGGCCTCGGGGGCTGCTGGACCACCAGCCTCCCTTACTCTCACATCAATGAGGACATCGGTCTCTATGCTGAGGACTTACTGAGCAATTTCAGCTACTGTCCAAAGCTGTTTGCTTCTCTAATTGCACAAACACCTCCAGGGAATTAGTACTTTGTATTTTCCCAGTCTTGGGCCAAGAGAAGAAAAGAGATCTCTAAAAAGAAACTTCGAAAAAGAAGTTTCAGCCTCAAAACAAAGGGCGCTGCTGACCTCAGAGAGTTATTTCCTCAATTCAGATTAGTTGGCTGAGGAAGTGAAAACTAATAACCCTCAAAGAAGAACAAGTGGGGACGAGCAGTTGTCCTTATCAGGAAAGACGATTCTAGGGAAAAGGAATGAGAAGAAATTACTGGTTAGTATGACTACAGCTCCTATCCACAGGCCAATCATAGTGACCCCATGAATTTGCTTCGTTTTTTCTATTTTCTTTTTTATTTTAAAGAGAATTTTAAAAAAAGAACAATAGCAAAAAGGCCAACAACATAGACAAAAACAAAACAAAGCAAAAACAGTAAGAATGATACAGGGTTTCAGAACAAAATGATAGGGATTAACAGTGGTTGTTATATTACATATTTTTATCTTCATCGAAGTTGGTCAGATTACCAGACGTAAGAATGCAAGATTAATCAAACCACTAAAGAGAATAAAAAAAGAAAAAGAAAAAAACTATAAACAATACAGAGTTTCACCAAACAAGATGATAGGAATTCAACAGTGGTTGTCACGTGCCACACTGTTGTCTTCAAATTGCATTTACTTCTGCAATAGCGTTTTTCTCTATAAGAGACATGAGGGAGGCACTGAAAAAGGACTTCTGAATCAGATCTATCTGTGCCATGGCAGTGGTGGTGGTGGTTGTCGTAGAGGGGTGGAGTGGGGTTATTCACGCTACTGAAGGATAAGCAGTGTTCCCCAAGACCCAGCAAAGAGCAGCGTGGAATCTGGGTGGCTGGCTCCAACTACACTCAAGTAGAAAACATGGCTTGGGGAATGGACCAGAGCCTTGTAAATGCTACAGGCACAGGCCCCTGATAACAGATGTTACTAGTGTACCTGCGACGAAGGCTAATGAGCAATTTAGCAATTTGCTCGAATAACCAGCACAAGCCTGCCTAGTTCCTGAGAGCAAACTGGGCTCTGTCAACCCAAATGGGTCCCAGGGAGGAAGTGCAAGATCCTGCGCCTCCCTGCTGTGGCTAAGCAAGAAGTGATGGCTCCTTGGGCTTGTAGTTTTGCCCTGAGAGATGACTCGTGGCTCCATTATGCAGGGTTTGCACAGATCATAAGGAAGAGACACAGTGGAAAGGACACGGAATTTTAGGTCACCCTTTCATGTAGATTAGGTGAGATTTTCTTTGCTGAGTAACCTGAGGTAAGTCAAGTCTTTTGAGACAAACTTACTTCCTTGTAAAATGGGGAAACCATGCTACCTTTCTCACCTGGTACATGAACAAATGAGGATGTTCATGAAAGTGCTTTGAAACTACATAGCACTAACAAACTTTAGTCATTATTTTAAAAATCCTTATTATTGATACACTTTTTATCATTTTAGTTAGAGGCTTACACTGTTTCATACTTGGTGATTCCTAATGTGTTTTATTTTTCTTGTAACACCCTATATGAGGTAAGCAATTACCCAATTTTTAGAGATATATTACTCAAGGCTCTGAAAAGTGTTATTATAGAGCTAATAAGAAATAGGAGATGGGGCTGGGGATTTAGCTCAGTGGCACAGCGCCTGCCCAGCAAATGCAAGGTCGTGTCCCCTGCACTGGAAACAAACAAACAAACAAAAAAAGAAATAGGAGGCCGGGGATATAGCTCAGCGGCACAGAGCCTGCCTGGCAAGCACAAGGCCCTGAGTTCGATTCCCAGTACAAAAAAAAAAAGGAAATAGGGCTAGGAGTTTCAATCCACATCCACTTGGCCCCAGAGCTTGTATTTTCTATAATGGGCCAGAGAAGGGCCAGACTTCTGGATCACCAGCTTCACCTTGTACAATGACACTCAGAGGTCAGGGAAAGGCTGTAGTGCAGCAGAGCATAAGCAGCGCAATTTGCAACTTGGAGGACTTTGGATCAGGTGGTCCTGGCTCTGAGGCTGGCGGCTCCCATGCTAGGCACACCTGGCCCTGTGCACGCCCTCTGCACACTTACCAACTGCACTGCACCAGGTGCTTTCCATTAAACCGAGCACTCCTTGAGGGCAGGGACTGTGTCTTACCCAGCTCTGTGTCCCCAGCACTCAGCATAGAGCCTGGCACATAGCAGGTGCTAACTGAATCAATGAATGAATGAATGAATGAATGAGAAAATCTCTCCTTTTTTTTCTGTCTAGCATGACATTAAACGACCTCCCAAACTGGCTGGGAGGAGCAGAGAGAAATACATTTGGATAAAATACAAAGGATTATATAGGCAGAAGTTCTCGTGTAGGGGCTAGGGATTTAGCTCAGTGGCAAAAAGCGCCTGCCTGGCAAGCGCAAGGTCGTGAGTTCGGTTCCCGGTACCGGAGAAAAACAAAAACAAAAAAAAAAAAGAAGTTCTCGTGTAATCCAAGGAAGAAGTACTACTTATTTGAAAATTGTAAATTTGCTCAGATTTATTCACTGGCAATGAAATTCAGAGAATAGGCTACTACATGCCAGACCCTGTGGCAAGGTCTGGAAATCGAGTGACAAAACCGATATGGTTCCTGATCTCACAGCTAAGTTCAGTGGGGGGACAGATACTCAAAATAACACTTGGTGATAAACTGTGGTATGCTCTATGAGGAAAACTACAGAGCCATGTGAAAGAATACAATGGAAAATCTAATTTAGAGATCAGAGAAAGGTTAAAATAAGACTGAAATGGTATCAGGTTCTACCTACTTAGTTTTTAATACAGACAGACTTTGATGTAAACCGTTAAGTGAGCTATAGGGAAATAGTTGTTGTTTTAACCTGTGAACAGGAGAGCTGGCCTCCCAACCCACCAGCTTTAGGGGAACCCCGCACCAAGTGACGCTGGAAGACAAAAACTGCAATTTTCCCATCTACACCCACCTTCCCCCCACACATTCCCGCACACGAGCTTCAAGCCAGCGGCCTCCTCCCTGCGAACTAAACGCTCACCTCGGGGTGGTCTGCACTAGAGGCTTCCGCGTGGCCCGGAAGGTGACGAACGCGGTGACGGCGGAGAAGAAGACCCAGATCACGAGGAACCGCCACCAGTGCAGCTTCACTGTGAAATAGAGGGGGACAACCCACATCTGAAAGAGCGTCACCATCTGAAACACAAACACAAGCGCTTCAGCTCTCGCCAGCTCCCGCTGCACTCTACCCACAAGTCCAGTATGCTCCCTGCTTCTATTTCCGCCTGATCGTCTACATTTCCAATTCTGAATAAAGACAACCGCACTAGTGATCAGAGTTAGAAGCTCCCCCAGCTGTCTCTTGGCTACATTCTTTGCTTTCCCCTGAGCTTGTTCTCTCTTCCCTAACTGCAGCAACCTGCTGCTCTCCCTGCACCAGGGAGACCAGAGTGGAGGGATGCGGAGCAGCGGCAGGGCCACCTCTGACCACTACCCATGGCGTTGGGTCAACTTGTCCCCTGGGGTAAAATATCCCCCTCACTCCCTTCCTTCCTGACAGAATCACATCCAAGACACAGCCTCAGTCTCCTTTCAGGCAGACTCAGTCACGACTTCCTAGGGCTCCAACAGCATTTTCTTTTCTACCATCGTTAGCGTGCACATCCAGAATGAGGCTGAAGGCTGGGCGTGGCGGCCCTCACCTATAATCCCAGCACTCAGAGGTGGGACAGGAGGACTCAGGAGAGTTCAACACCAGGATGGACTACACAGTGAGTTCGAGGCCAGCATAAACTGCATAGCAGAACCCATCTCAAAACAAAAAGCAAAAACCCACCAAAACAGAATGAGGCTCATTTTGAATTCATTCACTATCTAAATATAAGCTCCTTGAGGGTGAGAAACTTGGTTGCATTCACACACATTTCCTTTGCACTAGAAAACACATATGGCATGTAATAGTTGCTCAATAAATCAGACTGAGTAAATAGAAAGTAAGACTAAATTGGAGTAAGATTCCCTAAGAGAGAAACACTTTTTTCTTTTTCTTTTTTTTCTTTTTATTTGAGACAGGGACTGCTACATAATTCAGACTGGGCTTGAACTCATTATGTAGCCTAGGCTGGCTTTGAACTTTTGGTGATTCTCCTGCCTCAGCCTCCCCAGTGCTGGGATTACAGGTGTGTACCACCACAGCCAGCCACATTTTTGGTTTTAAAGAGTGCCTATTTTACTTTTTCCCATCAGCACCTTATCATACACTTGGTAGCTGAGTTGTCGCAGACACAGGTAACTATTCAATTCCACAACAGAAGTTTGGAGTAGCTGCCAATATTCTGCTCTCCAGTGTCTCCCCCAGCCACTGGTTTAGGTAAATATCCCTCTTTATAAGTGAACAGTAGATGTAAAAAAAGTGAACAGTAGATGTAAAAAACAGTAGATGTAAAATAGTAAATATAAAAGAAAGAACTTAATGAAGGTTTTCTTTTTGATGTCACCAAACAAAATGAGAACATAAAACAATTTTTGTTTGTTTGTTTGTTTTTTTGGTTTTTCTCCGGTACCGGGAACTGAACTCACGACCTTGCACTTGCCAGGCAGGAGCTTTGCCGCTGAGCTAAATCCCCAGCCCCCATAAAACAATTTTTAAACTGGGTGTGGTGGTGCAAACCTGTAATCCCAGCACTTGGGAGGCTGAGGCAGGAGGATCACACAAGTTCAGGGCCAGCCTGGGCTACCCTGTGAGGTCTAGATCAGTCTGAATTACACAGTGAGACTTTTTCTCAAAAAACCAAACCAAAACAAAACAACCCATAAAACAATAAAAACAATAAAAAAAGAAGAAGTACAGAAAAGCAAAGAGTAAGCTGGGCATGGTAGCACACGCCTGTAATCCCAGCACTCAGGAGGCTGAGGCAGGAGGATCGTTGCGAGTATGAGACCAACCTGGGCTGCAAGGTGAACTCAAGGCCAGCCTGAACTGCATAGCGAGAACCCTGTCTCAAAAAGACAAAAAAAAAAAAAAAGGCAAAGAGTAGCTAGTATCCTGATATTCCATAGTAAACTAAAACAATATTTGCTCCATCAGATTTCTAGACCTGTGCTATCCAAGTGAAAACCACATGTATAGTTTTCAACTTTCTAGTAGCCACATTTTAAAAAGTATAAAGAAACAGATGGTATTAATTTTTTATTTTAACACAATATATCCCAAGTATCCTCACTTCAACACATACACAATATTTTTTCTATTTTTTGTTTTTGTTTTTTGGCCTTGAACTTGCAGCAATCCTCCCGCCTCAGGCCCCCGTGTGCTGGGGTTATAGGCGTGGGCCACCACACCTGGCTCACAATATTTTTTTTTTTTTAATTGTTTTGGATCCTGGGAAGTGAACCGAGGGCTCTGTGCATGCTAAGTATGTGCTCTACTACTGAGCTATACTCCCAACCCCAAAACACTGACATTATTAATAAAATAATTTAGTTTTTTATACTTTGAAATTGGATGTGTTACTCACACTTATAGCATATTTCAAATATTCAGTAGCCACATGTAAAAAGGAATTAAGACATGTTACCTACGTATACCAACTCCACACCAGGAATGTAAGTGTATGAACTGCAAACATCTACTAAATAAAAAATTCTTTTTAATGAAAAATACAAAAGAAGTTATTCAATATTTAAGTCTGTCTTGATTGATTTAACATGGTCTTAGAGTATATGCATTTTCCTACAAATAACTCAAATCTATCCTTCTTTATGGCATTTATACTTCTCTATAGACAGCATTTCATGTGTATAAGTACCACATTTTCTTTATCCATTTATCTACTGATGGATACACAGGCAACGTCCAGGATTTAGCTGTTATGCGTTGTGTTGCCATAACATAGGTATGCATGTATCTCTGTGGTACCATGCCTTTAACTCTGTCAAGAAAGATAGCTAGAAGAGGAACACCTGAGTTGAATGGAATTTCTAGTTTTAACTTTTTGAGGAATCTCCCCATATTGATTTCCATACTGGACGTACTAGTTAATATTCCCATCAACAATGTAGAACGGTCACTTCTTCCCTGCAGACTCACCAGAATTTGTTACCCATTTCTCGACAGTAGTCATTCTTTCTGGAGCAAGATGCAATATCTGATTGTTTTGGTGGGGGGACACAGTCTTGTTATGTAGTTCTGCCAGGCCTTCAACTTACTGTGTAGCCCAGGCTGGCCTTGAACTCACAGCAATCCTCCTGCGTCAGCATCCAGAGTGCTGGGATCAGAACCATGCACCACCCAGCAAAATGGAATTTCAACGTTGTTTTATTTGCTTTTCTCTGATGACCAGGGACGTTAAACATTTTTTCATGTATTTATTGGCATCTGTACTTTTTCTGAGAAGTGTCTACTCAGTTTAGTTGCCTATTATTTGACTGTGTCTTTTATTTGGGAGATATAATTTCTTTGAGTTCTTTGTATATTTTAGACATTAGTTCTCTGTTAGAGTAGTTGGCAAATTTTTTCCCATTGTACCTACGTTTCTTCTCTCTGTTAATTATTTCTTCTTCTTCTTTTTTTTTTTTTTTTTTTGGTACTGAGAATCAAACCCAGGACCTTGCACTTGCCAGGCAGGTACTATGCCACTGAGCTATAACCCAGCCCTGATTATTTCCTTTGATGTGCACAAGTTTTCAATTTATTGATGCAGAATCAATAAACTAAAAGCTAAAGAATAATTTAATTTATTGTTATTTCTTGTGGAACTAGGGTTCTGTTTAGAAAGTCCTTGCCTGTACATATGTCTTCAGGAGTTATACCTATTTGATATTCCACTAAATTAAGCATCCGCTTTAATATCTAGGTCTTTGACCCATTCTGATTTTGGTGCGTGGTGACAGATGTGGATTTAGATTCAATTTTCCACACGTGCATAGCCAGTTTTCCCAGCACCACTCGTTCATCCAGCTGTGCTTTCAGCCCCTCTGACAACAATCAGATCATGTAATACTCCTGAGGTTGTGTCTGCATTCTCTGTTCTGTTCCACTGATCCACACGCCTGTTTTTGTGCCAGTACCATGCTGTTTTTAATGCCGTACCTCTGTGATAACAACTTGAAATCTGGGATTGGTTTGTTTGTTTGTTTGCTTTTGAGACAGGGTCTTGATGTGTAGCCCAGGCTGGGCCTGAACTCCCAAGTGCTGAGACTGCAGTGTGCCACCACACCCAGCCTGAAATCTGGGACTGTGATGCCTCCTATTGTTTCTGCTGCCCAGGATTACTATTGCTATTCTGGGTCTCTTCTGGTTCCATATAAATTTTGGACTCATTTTTTCTAATTTTGTGAGGAATGCTGTTGGTAGTTTGATTGATATTCCATTAAATGCTTATGTCAGTTTGGGAGCTATTTTGACAATATTGGCTCGGCCTATCCAGAAATGGGAAACCTTTCTATTTTCTGACGGCCTCTTCAATCTCTTTTTGGAATTATAGTTGTCAGTACCGAGGTCTTTCACTTCCTTTGTTAGGTTGATTCCTAAGTAATTTTTTGAGGCTATTGTGAATGGGCTACATAGTAAGTTCAAGGCAGCCTGAACTACATAGCAAGATCCTGTCTCAAAAAAAAAAAAGTGGTAGAGTTATAGCAGTTTCTTTATAATGTTTAATTTGTTCCTTCTAGGAAAAACAAATTATCTAAAAACACAAAATAAGGACTTCTGGCCACCTCCAGGTATCTAGGCACTCTAGTAGGGAGTCTCAAAGGCCAGATTCCACACAAGGCCTAGAAAGGCTGGGCAAAAACAGTAAGTTACAACTTTGTCTAGTTAATTTCTTTATTTTGCTTGTTCTTAAATTTCCTACTATAGGCCAGGCATGGTGGCGCGCGCCTGTAATCCCAGCACTCGGGAGGCTGAAGCAGGAGGATTGTTCCAAGTTCGAGACCAGCCTGAGCTACAAAGTGAGCTCAAGGACAGCCTGAACTGCATAGTGAGACCCTGTCTCAAAAGGTCAAAAATATTTTTTTTTCCTACTGTACTGTTTCCGCACATTTTGCTTAGCAAAAAAAGTTTAAACTTCTTTAAGAGAGATGTTTTTAAATGCCTAACGGGCAGTGGCTGGGACTCTGACGCCATCTGGTGGCAACGCTTGTGCAGACACATTCGATTCAGCTGATTGTTCAAACTCTCAGGTCTCAGGCTTCAG